AGGTAATTGCTATCGCACCACGACAGCCAGTACAGAGCAACAATAAGCCTTGTGTGTGCTTCCATTAGTTTTCATTGTTATACGGTGCTTTATTGGCGAGAGGTGAGCCGCTGTTTACCTGCGACGAGAAGTTGATTTTTCAAAAGACGTAAAACTCAAGTCGCAGTGTGATGCAACGCGTCAAAAACCTCACCTGCTTGGTATGGCGCTTCTGGTCATCGCAGAGCCATGACACTTTGGCTCGGAGTAAAACACATCGTAGTCTCACTGTGACATAATGTCTTCTAATCAAAATGCCAAGAGAGAAAGTGAATATTGAGCCCTTTCCGGTTTGCAACCTATTTCCTATTTTAAACCGTATCCTCTACATCTCTACATCTCTACATGCATACATGCATACATGCATACATCTCTACATGCATACATCTCTACATGCATACATGCATACATGCATACATCTCTACATGCATACATGCATACAATGTAGGGAACGTAGTACACTGACCTTCTTTGAGAGAATAATGTCTGCGTTTTCAATGTACTCAAACACATCCTTCCGCCATGCTAAGAGATTGCCTGTGTGAAAAGAGGCAAAGACAACATAATGCTCATATTCATTAGTTGAGGCAGTTCAGTTGAAAAGGGAAAAGTCCAAAGAAAAATTGACTGTCATAATGCGCATCACATTCACCAATTTCATGACGACAACAACAGCGACAGCAGGAGCAGCAGCAGCAGCAACAAACAACAAACAACAACAACAACAACAACAATAACAACAACAACAACAACAACAACAACAACAACAACAACAACAACAACAACAACAACAACAACAACAACAACAACAACAACAACAACAACAACAACAACAACAACAACAACAACAACCGTTCAACAACAACAACAACCGTTCAACAACAACAACAACAGCAGCAGCAGCAGCAATAACAACAACAATAACAAGAAGTGAGAATCGAGAGGTTCCACACTACGTAAAGTTGAGCAACTTTACGTTAGTAGGCGGGAAAAACCCGTGAATTCGCGAGTTTGCACTCCACTTACGGAAAGTTGTCTACGTAGAGTACGTAGATAGGGCTCTGATAACGTAGCTGGTCCGTAAGGGGATAGGGGTACAAATTTATGACTCTCTCCCCAGGTCGATCTGGTAGTACACTGCCGCGTTCAGAGTTGCCAAGGGTAGCTACGTGATTTGGAAACTCCATTCGGCGGAACCCAGATGCGCATGCAGTTTACGTAAGACTTTCTGTAGATCGACTACGTTTTTTACTAACGTAATAACGTTATGAGGAACCTCTCTAATAAGGATTCGAAACAACGCATGCCCCCGGTGAGAGTGGAGAAAGAAAGCAGTATGTTCCACAGTGAAAATAAGAAGACAGTACTGACCGTATTCCAAGTATACACAACTTGGATACACAACAAGTATACACAACAAGTACACACACACACACAGTTACTTGGAGATTGCAGCTTACTCTACTACACTAAACGTTACTTGTCGACAAACCACATGTAGTACATGGCCGGCCGGCTGTGGCGGTGGCGCCATCATTGCAGTCGCACATACACGTGTTATAAACTTATAACTTATAATGTACGGAATAGTGGTTGCGACTTCGGCGATGATTGTTAGGAAAGAGTTTGCTCCCCACACTGGAGCTCGTGCTATTCCGCCGACTTGACTTGACACTTGACTGACTCACGACTGCCATCCAGAGCACACGAGAAGTCCATCGAACCTTCGACTCGGCAAACCTGCAAGAAAGCACCACTCCCTGCTCAATATACAGTGTTTCGGGAATTCACCCCTCATCACTAGAGCTTGAGTAGGCTGAGGAAGATTGTGCCTGGAGAGCATCACTTATATAGTGCTCTCCAGGCCCAAACATCACCAGGGATACAAACTTACAGAGACGCTCCGTTTCAGCGCATCAAACACCTCGTGAACACCAGATAGCAGCGCGAGTCAGTGTCGCTCCTGGACGGTGAGAACAGACGTCGAGGACCCTCGGTCATTCACAACGCTGTCACCTCCAAACCAGCTAGTCGCAAGCCCGCGCTGGGCACAACAGTACGAACTGTATTCATATATTCATGTATACTGTATAACATGTCATTTTACTCTTATTTTAGGTGTAACAAAATTTCGGTACCAGGGACCTGCCAGGTTTCAGGTGTAATGTAGAATTAGGTGACCGGTGTTCCCTGTACCTACATACAGTGCATACTCTAGTGCCTTTTCCGTGTTATCTAATTTTACGTGCCTGGTTTCTCTACCGAAATCACCGAAATTTAAAGGGGAAGTTAAGGCAAAAATTAAAATTTCACCAGTTGTAGTCTTCGGGGTGCTGAGTCGAATGGTCTTGGTCCGAGAAAGCTGAGACGCACCCTTCCTACTTGAATCCCAATCGAACTCGCGCACTTCCACCGAAACTGGGTGACTGCGCCCTACTAGATGGGGATTTGTATGCAAAATGTCACTAAAAGCGCCGTTTCGTTCTTATAAAAGCACGGATGACCGCGATTGGCCCATATGTTGTAGTCTTTTGGACGCTGAGTCGACTGGTTTTGGTCCGAAAAGGCTGCGATGCAGCGTTCCTCCTTTATTCCCAATCGAACATGGTTGAACAAGCGGTCACGTGCTCCTGGGTGCCAAAATCACCTGGTCACCACGCCAGCAGGCGAGAACTTTCACACCAAGGTTCAACTCGAGTGACAGGACTGCATCCAAAAAAGGTCAAACAGGCTAGTAAGTTGTACCCTGCAGGCACGGTGACCAGCTGACTGGTGTACGCAGGAGCACGTGACCGCTTGTTCAACCATGTTCGATTGGGAATAAAGGAGGAACGCTGCATCGCAGCCTTTTCGGACCAAAACCAGTCGACTCAGCGTCCAAAAGACTACAACATATGGGCCAATCGCGGTCATCCGTGCTTTTATAAGAACGAAACGGCGCTTTTAGTGACATTTTGCATACAAATCCCCATCTAGTAGGGCGCAGTCACCCAGTTTCGGTGGAAGTGCGCGAGTTCGATTGGGATTCAAGTAGGAAGGGAGCGTCTCAGCTTTCTCGGACCAAGACCATTCGACTCAGCACCCCGAAGACTACAACTGGTGAAATTTTAATTTTTGCCTTAACTTCCACTTTAAGTTACACCAAAAACAACGTGTTAATACAGTAGTACTGTAGACCACGTGATTTCCGGCAGTCTTCAAGTTACTCGAGTATATTGGAACCCTGGAAACCGCTGTGATCCGGAAATACTGGTACGCGTGATTTCTGCCATGGCTGTGGAATAGCAAAAGTAAGCTGGGCGAAACGTAGAACTGAAGTAAAAAACATGAAATTGACTTCAATTGTAAACATTTCCAGGTACAAATCGGTCTGTGCTCGCAAATCGGGAACTAAGACTGACAGGAATGCTTAATGGTATATTGTAGTGCAAGGTGTGCAGCAAGCTCCTCACCAATCTGAACCTTGAGCTTCCTGTTTGGATCTTTCTCCTTGACCGTGTACTTGACATGGTATCCTAGGTTCTCCAGCCAGCCGGTGAACCAAGCCATGTGGTTGTCCGGTGCTGGGGTACCGTCAGGTAACTTGCCATCGAAAGTCCTTACTAGATGGCCATGCTCATCAATGACAGACTGCACTTCTTCCAGGCACAGCAGATCCGGGTTGCGATACTTGATCTGTGTAGCAAGCACAGGACAAACAAGTTATCAATGAGAACCAATCGACTACGCTCGTGTACATGCATGTGCACATCATGAAATATCTGTATGCATAGAAAGGGTTTTACAATATCTGTATGCATATAAAGGATTTTACAATCACAATTTTTTTCCCGATTACACTCGGACGTCTCTTATCCGGGCACCTTGTGACCGGGCACTGCCCGTATCTCAGATTTGCCCGTATCTCAGGATAACTCATCTATCACGTACCATATCAGTTTTCGAGGAAGTTTATTTGGCACGTATTCACATGCTCAGGATAAAAAATAATCCGTTGATGAAAATGTGTGGATTACACAAGTTGGCAGTGACAAAAGAGGCGATTGTGCATACGAAAAAAGGTTCAAAATCCCCAAATTCGAAGCATTTCGCCATAGGAACTCAAGCTGAAGGTGCCCGGTAGAGAGACGTGCCCATATCTGAGGTGACCGGATAAGAGACGTTGGAGTGTACTAGCATTGGAGTGCCGTATTGAATACACAAACCGTCCTAGTGTGCAGGATAAGTACTGGAGGGTCACGGTATTTCATTCCCCAAGCTATGCAAAAGACGTTACCGTTTTTACAGATACATGTACTCCCTACAGTATACACCATGCCCCCTGTACTCCCTACAGTATGCACCATGCCCCCTGTACTCCCTACAGTATACACCATACCCCCTGTACTCCCGACAGTACGTATCATGCCCCCTTCTAACATTTATTATTAGGCCAAAACAAAAAATAGGCTTGTTTCCGGTCGGCAACCCCTCAAAAAGGAGACTCGGTCGGCCGGAATGAAACTTTTTTGGATACTTTTTTTGGTTCCTCAATCGTTGTGGTATTGATGGACAAGAGCACCTACACATGTACATTGTACATATATCATGGCAAGGATCAATGTCAAAGTTGACTGACTCACTGTTCTTGTACAGCATGTGGTGTATTCCTGTTTTCGTACATCCTGAGAAATCAAGCAAACATTTCGAGTCCTTCCAGCTCCGTTATTCTAGCTCGTATCGAGCCCGGAGGTTTTCGAGCCGACAGCTGAGAATCTCTGCTACCTTGTAGGTGTTTCGATTGTGGAATTCGGTTGAGATTTGACTGAGTTATGACTCGTTGAGTGCACTTGCACACATGGCATTGCCACCGTTTGTATACATTTGGGACCAAAAAAGTTTCAGAATTTGGGAAAAAGTGGCCCGGTCGGCCGACCGGAAACAAGGTCATTATTTGTTTTGGCCTTATTGTAACACTGTACATGCCCCCTTCTAGCATTTATTATTATTGTAACACTGTACCTGCTTTTGAATCAATGTGCGGCGGTACTCCCAGTCTCGCACTCTCTCCGTTGTATACGGGAATACAGACTCTGTACACAACGCATCTGCCAGCACATTGTACTGCATGACAACGAAGCTCCGGGAGTCACCATCATCCTTGAAGAACATCTCCGACTGTAGACGAGAGCAAGTTTTGCACACCATTTATACACGCACACAGCATGCATAGCACACACACACACATACACACGCACACACACATGCGCGCGCACCCGCATGCACACAAACACACACACACACACACACACAAGCACATGCACACAAACACACACACAGACACACGCGCGCAACACACACTCACACATACACACACACACACACACACACACACACACACACAGGTCAAAATACTGTACTCTCCTGTAGATAAAAAAAAAGTAGAAAGGAAAAGGACATATGGAAACGAGTTAAGAGTAACTCTCCACCACTGTAACTAGATACTATCTACAGTCAGAAAGTGCAACAACTACACCTCTTTGGTCTTTCCATAACCTTGAACCTTCCAAGTTGGAAGGCTGTCGGTTAGCGCTACAGAGATGTGTTGAAGCTAGGTGTCCGGACGTCGAATGTCTCAGTACTCTGTCAGTTTTGTGCCTAGTTGTTGCACTTTCTGACTGTATATAGTATCTAGTTACAGTGGTGGAGAGTTGCTCTTAAACTCGTTTCCATATGTCCTTTTCCTTTCTACTTTATTATTATTATTATTATTATTATTATTGGCTCAATTAATTGTGGCCTGGCACGAGGGAAACATGGATGCAGTGAATGGGATTTCGGTCTTTGACCACTTTGTGGTGGGTCTGATCTACTCACCTCCCACCGCTTAGGTGCTGCATCTGCGCCTTGATCCAAGAGGGTGGTGGCGTTCCTGCGGATGCGGAAAACTGGGCCTTTGGCCGAGTCTCACGCGAACCGTGAAATTTTATTTTTATTTTTTTTTATTGGCTCAATACCCGAGTTTCAAATTGCTCTCCTGTAGATGGTTGTGAAAGTCCTGTGGGGATTGCAGAACCATTAGCAGCAGCACACTAAAGTAAAGGCAGCCCATAGAAAAATCTGACCGTGACCGTAGGCCGAGCAGAAGGCGTTAGATACTACATGTTGTTTGGATGAGATGGGCATAGTGATGAGATGGGCATAGTGATGAGATGGGCATAGTGATGAGATGGGCATAGTGATGAAATGGGCATAGTGATGAGATGGGCATAGTGATGAGATGGGCATAGTGATGAGATGGGCATAGTGAGGGTGGTAATGTCCTCTCCCCTGTCGCCTTTGCCTCCCCAAGCGAAATCAAGATGGGTCTCCTGCGGGTGGAAATAATCTTCGCTCAAACGGGGAATCAAACCAGCAACTTGATGTTCGGAATGCCGATGCTCTAACTACTCAGTCGTTGCGAGCCATACACTCACGGCTAGTGTGCACAGTGCACAGTGCAGTACGCTGCTGCAATCAACTCTAAAGTATCCGTACCCCAGCCATCACACAAGAAAACCCTGGTGTGTGCCGCAACACATTGTAAGGCAGCAGCAGCAGCATCATCATCAGCATCAGCAGCAACAGTGACGCAGGCTAGCAATAATACCGTACTGGCAATATATGTTGCCGCGTAACGCGTAACGCAGGGGGGTGCGGCGTAACGCGCGACCAGGCTAGTGCGACAAATTTTCGTTGAGTTCGTAACGCGCGTCCGGCGGGGTGCGGCGATCTTTTCATTGCAGTTTGCACTGCAAAAAAAGGCTGAAACTGTGAAAGCACGTGTACTCGTACGTACCGCGTGGTGAAAAGTAGTTTTTGGAGGAAGCGCTCTTCCCCTACGTCACTTTCCTTTTGATGATCTTTTTGTGAACAGATCACTCTGATAGTTAACATAATATACAGTCTTCTATTGATATCGTTGTCGTCCTTTGCCGTCGGGTTTGTAACAGTTGGATAGCAACTGAATTTCTGTGCCTTCAATGTGGATGAAAAGAAAAAATGATGCGGCAAAAGCAAAAAAATGATGCGGCAATAGCAAAAAAGTGATACGGCAATAGCAAAAAAAGGACTGCGGCAATATAGAAACCTGTGTAACGGCTCCTGTGCGACTTTGCATGTAACGCCCTGGGTGCGGCAAACATGTGCCAATGTAACGCTTCATGACCTCACTGCGGCAACATATATTGCCAGTACGGTAGTGGTCAAATCAAATGTAGGAAGCACAATGTGCAATTCACTTGAGGCGCACCGCTACTGCAAGAAGATTCGGCCCACTTCTGACTTTCTGACACAACAGCCACAACAGGCACAAGGAGACATGGTGGGTTGACCATAACCAGATCATGAATTCTTCGACACAGACATATCCAATAGTTGACAAGAACATGCTACTATCCACATCTCCATTGCACTACACAGAATTCTGAATTTATAACTACTGTACATGTACACACAACGTGTTAGACATACCTGCAATCCATCACGACCAATGACTGGAGGGGTCGGTGGCAGTGGGTGCCTGCGGCGGATGAACATGCCGTCCTTGCTGAGATTGAGCTCCGTGCTAAACATGGTCACTGCCGAGCGAATATCAGCCAGCGTGACGCGAAGCAGCTTCAGTTTCTTGAGATTTACAATGTGGTGTAGCGACACCCAGCCACCGTACAGCAAGCGATCCATGGATGGGCGCGTGCGATGCAGACCACCCGACTGCTGCTTCTGTTCCTCAGGATTCTGGGCAGAAAAAAATTAAAGTCCAGGGAAGGAAAATTCAAAATTGTATGGCAGAGTGCAAATAAGTTTGTACGGTGTGAGAACCTCTGTGTACTAAGGTCGTCGTGAACATGGAAATCCGGTCGGAGGTCAAGTGGCCAAGAGCACTGGCCTTGCAGCCGTGAGTACGCATACGATCAACACGTGCCCTGCATGCAACGCTCAGTGAGGGCGCCGGCCCCGCATCATTCGACCAGATTTCCATGTCCACGACAGTGCTTGACATGTCGTTGTGTGGAGCTCGCATATCCGCTCCAATGTAAACTGAGTACGGATTGACTGCACAGCGTGCAATGTGTGTGTACAAGGTATGTATCGCAGGATACCACCTGGCTGAAGATCTACATGGCTCAGGCTGTGCCCCTTTCTAAAGTACTGTATGGTTGTGAGACTACTTTCGCGGGGAAAACAATTGCCTGTGCTGTGCAAACCTGGCGCAAAATATGCACACAAGTATGGCAGCACAATTTCTCGATTTCAACCCGGGTCGAGAGCAATGCGTCAAGTATTGCCTTATCAAAAATTTAATAATAAGGCGAGACCAAAATAAAATCGAGATTCCCGGGCAGGACCCATGTGAAATTGGTGCGGGCGGGCGAAATTTATTTTTTTATTTTTTCCCCATGTATGTACATGTACATGCCATGTTGAACTTTTTTACAGCTTTTTCCGGTTATTTTATTCAATTTTTTTACAGACAACAGGTACGCGGTTTACCCGTTCAATTTTTCTATATTTCGGCCAACGATGGCTCTGATCTGTACATCAGGGAGTCGTACAAGCCCGGGTTTGTGTGACTACACGTCACAGATCTACTCACACGATCAGTACTGTACATGTATGAACTGTTCAAAAAAAAAAAAAAAATTGGCTTTGGCTCGATTTTGGTGCGGGAGGGCCCGGGAATCCCTATTTTTTTGGGTCTCGCCTAATAAAATCATAAAGTAAACACTCCAGTGACTTTGTGCTCAAAGCCGGTGTAAACTCGATCCAGGTCAAACTCTCATGTAAACACTGCAACAGACATTCGCAAGCCCAGCGGAAGCAGGCCACCGGAGAAGGCTGCGTTTACATGGGAGTGTTCACCTGGGTCAACCCGCCACGAACACAGGTTGACTGGAATGTTTATACAAGGGCGTCGGAACCGCACCGGCCGGGGCGGCCATGGCCGCCCCACAGGCTTTTTCGGCCGTTTTTTTGTGTTTTTTGTTTTTGTTTTGAGCACACTGCAACAAATCGCGATGATCTCAGTGCAAACGTGGCAAATCCTTGTCCCCGATCGTGGTTTGTTCCAGAATCAAAAGTCCATGTACAATGAAATGGCACCAAATGCCTGGGAATGCTTGCAATTGGCTTCAATTTTTGAATTTTTTTCCCGGGGGAGAGTAATGTTTGTCCCCGATCGTAGCATCTTCTTGGTTTTTTGCAGAATCAAAAAGTCTTTCATTGTAGTTACCGTACACTGAAATGGCACCAAATGCCCGGAAATGCTTGCAATTGGCTTCAATTTTTGAAATTTGTTCCCGGGGGAGGACCCCGACCCCCCCCCCTTCCATGGCCGCCCCACCTCCAAAGTCGGTGCGACGGGCCTGTTATAATTATGACAAATTGCAGGTTGAAATTGAGAAATTGCACCACCACTGTACTACTCATGCGCACACACCAGGTACAGGTCAGACCTCGCTATAACGTAATCTCTGGAGGATGGGAGAAATTATGTTATAGCGAGGTTTATGTTATAGTGAGTTGGGCACACCAATATGCAATATGTATGTCAAAATGACACTCTTCACTTACTGATTACAACTGTACTGTTTTACATACAGGTATGATGATGACTAGCAAAGATGTGCACCAGGGTGACAAGAGTCATGCAATGCGTGTACGTGTACATGTGATAGAGCCTATAAAAAGTAATGGGAGGTATTGACCCAAAGCAGGGAGTAGTAAAATACCGGTATTTCACTACTCCCTGCTTCCGAGGTGGACGGCTCAGTCCCGCGAAGGCATGCATGCCGTGTCCATAGTCATTTTTATGCGACTTTTTACGTTATGCTGAGGTCTCCGTGCGCCTGGGACCCAGCAAACAGTGCGTTATAGCAAAAATTACGCTATAGCGGATGATGTTATAGCGAGGAAAATTTGTACAGAAGTGATGCGGTTTCGGCAGGGACATTCACATTCCGTACGTTATAGTGAGGTTTATGTTATAGCGGGGGTCGTTATAGCGAGGTCTGACCTGTACAAGGTTTCCACAGCACTGCACAGGCAAATTTCCCGCGAAAGTAGTCACGCGACCATATAGCTTAGGATTCTGGGAAGGGCCTTTCGTCGCCATAATCAGTTATCGACCTGGCGCTAGCCGTACTCAACCCAGACACATACAATGTTCTCTACGTTTCACATACAACAGACTCTCTATTGGTTAGCAGATCTACCAGCTGAAGGATAACAATGGTAGCATGTTATTATCACAAGGTGGAGGATACCAGGATTCATGCTTCTGCATTACACTTGCACAGAAAAACTAGTTGTCTGTGATGAAACAGAGACTACAACTTCAAGTACAAAAGCACAAGTACATGACTGTACAAGACACTGTATTGTATTCGGAGTGAATACAGGCAGTGACTCGCGCAACGCAGCCTGCTGGCGGATCCGCGTGGACCGGTCTACGTGTGGACAGAAAATCCACTGTGAGTTACGATCAGGGAGTAGTACAATACTCCCTGGTTACGATTATCTGATCTGCTGGTTCAATAGAGAACCGAGGCGACAAATTGCAGAACAAGAGAACACGAACCTGACCTTGAATTTTCACACGTAAGCTGCACATTTACTCCACACGAACGTTACTTGGTTATAGTCATGTACTGCATGCACACGCACACATGCGTCCCGCCGTTGTACGGATTAGTAAACTACTAGTACGAATTTCTATGGTATTGGAAGGAATGCCAAAGAAAAACGAAGCTACAAGTGACCCACAGATCCACCGAACTCCCAGCTACAACACTACCGCCACTGAAACTACAAGAGTCCCACAGAAACAGAGGCAAGGCGATCTTGGCCATCACACTTTGATGACTGTCACAGAACCTTGCCCTAACATAAATGGCGCACAAAAGGACGACAAAAACAACAACAACGATCGTGTTCGCGCCTTCGCGGAGCTAGCTGGAGGAAAAGACAAAAAAAATGTGCTGTGACCAGGATTCGAACCTGGGTTACTACGGCCACAACGTAGGGTCCTAACCACTAGACGATCACAGCTTCAACGGACTACTCCATAGAGGAGAAGCACAACAGCGCTACTCCCAGGTGATTTATAAGGGCAGTGACATAGTACATGACTGTACTGTAGTACAGAAAGCAGTCAACAGCATGAGACATACCGGTACATGGTACAGTCAAACCTCGTTAGGACGAACTAACGTGATACTTCAAGGGACTGAACAAGTAAGTTTATTTGTCTTATCCGGTGTTCTTCTTGTCCAGAGCTGACAAAAAAATTGATATGCATTATTATTATTATGGATTGTATTTATGTGAAGGTGCATGCGGCATGCAGCGCTAGCGCTGTGACACAAGTAAAGCATTTTTTCATAACATAACCCAGCCTTGAACAGGTAAGTACACTGTGTAATGAATTCATGACAGCATGTTCTCCCAGCCTTGTAACATGCTGCCAATTCGTTTTGCCCATACAAGAAAGAGGCTTGACTATCGGAAAAAAAAAACTACGGCCAGCGCACCCACGGGGACCGAAAGTTCGTACTACACGCTGATTTTGTTCAAATCACCCTTGAAATTAGTTCGTCTTCACGAAGGTTCGCCGTACAGGAGTTCGTCGTAAACGAATAATTTTGACTTGATCAGATGCCAGGCCAACCATATGATTGGCCCTAGTTTGTACTAATGGGAAGTTCGCCTTATCAGTGTTCGTCCTAACGGGGTTTGACTGTATGTACAGGGTTTATCATGGTTTATGCTGTACACATTTTTTAGATCAATAGGGACCAAAGGGACCTTTCGCACCATGCGTGCGCGCTCGGATACGAAATGAATGCTGATTCGTCGCCTGGGTTCGAGGATTCACCAGCCCCTCATGAGGGCTCGTTTTCATGAATGAAAGCCTCTTCATTCGTGGATCGCTCTGAATCCGTCAAGTACACATTTTATTGCCAGGTACACATTTGTTCCTTGATTCCATGATCCATGCACGTGTACGTGTAAACACGCGTACACCAAGCTGTCGGCAGTGTTCCTAGTTGCATGTATGTCATGGAAAATAGCACGACGACTTGCGAAACCTGAATCTGTTTTGAATGGAACGAGGACGAGCCGAATCAAACTTTCGATTCGCAGCAGATGCGAAAGGTCCCTAATATCTCATAGCATGTCGTTGAGACTGCCAATAATGCAGAGATATGGGTGATTGCCAACCATGGCCTATAGAATGAAACGAGAGAAGTGATAAAGGGAGCTAGTCAGAGTACAACTATAACAAGAGACATACTACATGTATGTTGCAAATACGCGTCTCCTTTTGTATTCCACGCACTGACAAACTTCGTTTTCATGCAAGTGCCATCACACAGGCACGTAAACGTTGCTCGTACAGCGGTGCATGCAGTTTTTTCGGACACAAACTGCTAGGAACGACAGAACGAGTCGATACAGGGTCTGGATACGCCGCCTACGTTTTCGTATTTTTTAAAGCACTCGATCCCCCCACCCACCCCACATTCCATGTTGTCATAGCTATACGGATGAAAATGTCACGTACCCCACGTTTTGGGCGTAATGTGAATGGCCCATTAGCAAGACGAATTTCAAGTTCGTGTTCGTACTCCAATGTATGTCGAACTCAGTGATGAAAATCGCGTTGATGAGGAATGGCAAACAGAATTCGCACTTGTTGACAGGTTAAAAAAATTTGTACAGACAGTATAACGTAGTAAATTTACGACTGTCCAGACATAAATCAGCGTTCTTGTTTCGACTGCCTTTTCCGAACAAAACTTGATGATGCGAAAGTTCGTAAACTGAAAATATTTCGCGAACTCAAATTCGTGATGCTAAACCTCCAGTTGTTCCCCTCCGACATCAATAATACCGAGAGAGAGAGAGAGAGAGAGAGAGAGAGAGAGAGAGAGAGAGAGAGAGAGAGAGAGAGAGAGAGAGAGAGAGAGAGAGAGAGAGAGAAAGAGAGATAGAGAGAGAGAGAGAGAGAGAGAGAGAGAGAGAAAGAGAGAGAGAGAGAGAGAGAGAGAGAGAGAGAGAGAGAGAGAGAGAGAGAGAGAGAGAGAGAGAGAGAGAGAGAGAGAGAGAGAGAGAGAGAGAGAGAGAGAGAGAGAGAGCTGGCCATCACTTACCAACACAGGATCATCCTGTGCAATGGATTGGAGATGATGGTCCAGCGGGAAATTTTCATCTCCAAAGTAGTACTGCAAGAGATTGATGATTTCATCTTTGGTTGCGGGCGACGGGAGCGGGAAGTCTTCCACAGTTTCCGCCTTGCTCAGGTTCAGCTTGCGCGGCCGCCGGCAAATGCTTCTGAAGCCTTTTCGCCTCACCATGGGCATGGTGCCAGTCTCATTGACCTATAGAATACGACACACAACATGCAGCAGCACGTGAACCCTGCCATACTGCTCGACCTTTGGAATACAACCGTGACAACATGCGGCAGCACGTGGTCCCAGCTACAATAGACGCACATCAGTTTACGGCTTGTGAAGGACAGCATCCCCTCAGCGGCTTAGGGTGAGTTTGAATGATTGCTACCAGAACTAGGTAGGGCTGGCTCTGCCAGTTCTACCATTTTGAGCAGGCCCAGTGTTCTACTGAAGCAAAGGGCAGCCAACTCTCCTCAGCTCTGGCTGCTCTCTTTGAGAGCAGAACAAATTATGACTGCATCTTCAAATCATCTGAGATCAAGCCGCCGCTTGCATATCAGCAAAGTCACATGCACTACAGTCGACAGCTACCAATGTAGCGATGAGTGCGGCATCAGACCAAGAAAATTAATATCATAAAAAAAAGTTGTAAAAGAAGTAAAGTAAAGTTTGCACATTCGCCGCGCTACCACCGGCTATACATTTGTGTTGAGAAACACAACCAGCTTAGCAAGGTTTGCTTGTGCCAGACCACCACCATGCATAAATATCATTATAGGGGTGATAGTGTTATAAGTGCATGGTTCATGCCATACGTATAATTATATTGCTTTCACAAACTCCTTCGGTTTGGCGGCATGCAGTGGCCGCACTGACTGCATAAATTCACGTTTTGAAACAAAATCTCTAGAATGCTTGGTCGGAGAGTCGTCACGAGTACCAGGACCAGGACCAGTGAGGGTCGTGGTACCAGGACCAGGACCAGTGAGAGTCGTGGTACCAGGACCAGGACCAGTCCACTCCGGCAGCCCAACTGGCCTAGCCAGACAAAGTACAAAATGCGTTCTTCACTAGACTTTCCCCGTTTATCGGATTACCTGGGGCAGCAAGTGCAGGTCTGGTCAATGCCGGCGTTTGCGAGCGTAGCGCGTGTCTGACGCCCCTGTACCACCCCTCACACCCTAGTATCTACTGTGAGGGTGATCATGCATAGCCTAACATCACGACGTGGGTCACGGTGAAGCTAACTTAGGCGAGACCAAAATAAAATCGAGATTCCCGGGCAGGACCCATGTGAAATTGGTGCGAGCGGGCGAATTTTATTTTTCATTTTTTCCCATGTATGTACATGACTACAAGTGTGCATGCCGTGTTGAACCTTTTTTACAGCATTGTAATTATTATTCAATTTTTTTACAGACAACAGGTACGCGGTTCAATTGTTCTATATTTCGGCCAACGATGGCCCTGATCTGTACATCAGGGAGTCGTACAAACTCGGGTTTGTGTGACTCCACGTCTCAGATCTACTCACACGATCAGTACTGTACATATATGAACTGTTAAAAAAAAATGGCTTTGGTGCGGGAGGGCCCGGGAATCTCTATCTTTTTTTTGGTCTTGCCTTACCTCCAGTTTCTCACAGCTCCTGGCAGCCTCCAGGACATCTGTGTCAGAGCAGTTCAGGGCTGCAATTCGGTTGTACGTCAAAAAGAGAATTATTGGAACGAAACCATCAGTAGAGTCCTCAATCCGGCCCTGTAGAAACTTGTCCCTGCTGAGTTCTGTTTCAGAGAAGACGTGCTCAAGGAAGTTGATAATCTGCCGCTTCTTGGGTATGAGCTGCAGGTGCAGGCACTGATGCATGACATCACCAGATGCACCTTGCTGCAAGGATTCCATGTGTGGCCCGCCAGGGAGCGTCTCTGGCATACGCATGATGGTTTCAACCGTTAGAGAGCCCTTTATTGCTTCCAGCACCATCATTGCACTCTGCAGGTACACAAACACAATGCATACATGGAATTCTATCATTAAAATGTTTCCACTCAAGCTTTGCATTTAGTGATGCCTACAGTTTGGGGAGAGCTCATACGATCATGGGTGTGTGTGGTAGTGGTGGTGGTGGTGGTGTGTGTGTGTGTGTATGTGTGCGTGCGCGTGGTGTGTGCGTGCGTGTGGTGTGTGTGTGTGTGTGTGTGTATATGCGTGTGTGTACATGGTGTGTGTGGTAGTGGTGGTGGGGATATATGTAAATGTAACTTATCGTGACCTACCTGACATAGCTGTCTAAGCGCAGGGAACTTGAGCAAGTCGTGAACTGGGACTGACCCAATAGTATCCAGTAACATCTTCATGTGTTTGTCGTACGGCAAGTTCTCATCACTGAAGTAGTATTCGATCTGGCTGGCGATCTTCTCCAACAGGGTCTTCCTGCGCACTCGTAGCTTATCCTTGCAGAGGTGAGTGTAGCGGGGCCTGGAAGAAGACACACAGGGAGCGGAAAACAAACCCAAGCAGAGCCTCGTCGGCGATAGGTTGAGTTGCATACCAGGTCTCAAGACGCCAGCGCAGCGACTAGCTATTGGTACCTACAAAAAGCACCATTGTCCGTGCTGTGCATTGCTCATACACCTAGGCAGTGTTTACCATCCAGTCCAGTATGCACACAAACATACTCAACATATTTACATGCTCAATTCTCGGGATCATAGTGAACTTCTCCCGGTATGATCATTCTACTGCCTCGGTCTGGGCAGGGGATTTAAAACCCACCCAAAACCCACCCAAAACCCACCCAAGGGCCGGAAATACTAGAACACAGTTATTTGACCATGTAAACACGCAGTCAAATCGACTCCCAAGAAAACTCTGGCAGATTCATCTCAAGATGGAAAGTCGGACATTGCTTTACTGAGGCCATGACTAACACTAGTTGAGCGGGCAAATGCATGGGTGACCATTTTGTTTTAAATGAATATCGAGGATTGTAACAGAAGATGATCCCACAGATATCGCAACAGATCTAGAAAATTGTTCACAGCTCCTCAATACTGCAGCGTGCGAACTTGCCGAATGAGCCACCGCTAAATATTAAACACATGGCATGTGAGACTACTATTGAAGTAAACTTTCTTGCCAGAATTTATTGTCAGGAGATGAGATTCGGTTATCGGAGTTGCTCTGATGATCCCGCGGCAATACTAGGTGAAAGAGTACTGTTACCCGGCGCAGATTCTAGTACTATGCAGATATCGTCAGACACAAATAATTGGTAATTCTAATCTTGCTTCGCTATGCACATGTTGCGTTGTCAATATCCATCACAATTAGCTGGATGGACGCCATGGGTCTCACTCCATGAGCACACCAGGGCAAAAGTTGTAACGAAGCCTGCATCGGTCCTGGCTTCAACTGTATATCTTACCTGCCTCTCAAACATGCACTGGCAACATGGCTCACATCGCTACTGGCCATTATGTTAAACTCCGGGCGGCGAGAAAAAATGTGCGTAATCCAAACGGTTGTCTCATCTCCATCGCCCGGTCCCAATAGATCCGAGTTGTTGCCACTGTTGTCCTTGAACAAGTTGTCCAGGTACCTCACAATGCGAACTTCTGACTTCAGGCGTCGGATATACTTTTTGTCCCTGCTGACCTGGAGTACATTGGACGGGACAATCTGTAGAGCTGCTTTGATCAATGCAGTGCTCCCACCAGTCAACTCCAGCAAGCGCTGGTCTGCATAAATCAATACGTCCAGTGCTATGTAGCTATGCTCGTTAAGCATACCGAGAAGTCTCACATCTTGATAATGCTCGTCTCCAAATATTCGGTTCAACCTGCCTACGATTTCCATGGCTAATGCCCGATCCACCTCTTGTCCAGTACTCATCTTGAAAATTCTACTACAAACTGCTTTCCCCAGCGTTGTCACCGCATCGCATGGAATCGCTATTCTTTTCGCTGCCCACTACAGTAATCCGTATGCTGCTATCAATCCGCTATAAACATCAGTTGCATTCGTCCACAGCGCAATCCTTCTGCGATCCATCCGCGTTCACGACAATAGATCTAAGACTCCTGGTGATACTCGTCTACTGAGAAGAAAGATGAATTTGGGGCCCTTGAAACGGCTTGTTTTGATGACTGATCGGTATTACTATTACTAGCACCAGCAGCAGATTCTCGAGCTGTAGCTGTCGTTCCAAGCTAAAAGTGGCAGCTTTTCACTTGCACTCCCTTACCTGTCTTTCTGTCCCCGGCCCAGCACATGCACAGCCGTCGCCCTTTCTGACTTCTTATTGTACATATCAACAGACTGTCAGTGTATATAAACGCGACTTTACGTGCACTACGTGTACAGTGCTGGCAACTGAAATCCGACCCCCAGAGCGGTGGGTTCAGCGGTCTCTGCTTTGTAGTTTTACCATCAATAATCCCGTTGCGTCTTTTATTAGCGATGTGAGCGCGCACACCGCTCAGGGGGTCGGATTTCATTTGCCAGCACTGTAGCTTGTGAAGGGCTACAAAAAGTACAAAGATACAAGTACTGAAGAGTGAAGTAGGGGTACTAATAATACGTCATCTGCCAAGTGCCACTCCGCGATCCGCGACCTGCAATGCTGCATGCATGCATGCTTGGTCGACATCAAGCCAAGGAGCCTAGTAGTATTATCACTCCCTTGACTCTCATAGATTTTTGGGTTTTTTGCCATACCTAAGCAGTCAAATATTCCTGCATATTTCACTCCTTTATGATGACCGCTTATATTTGACTCCTTTTTAGCGATTGAACACAGGCTTTGGCTAGTCGTGATAAATCTAATATTGGATTGGATTGGATTTATTTATTTATAGTGGTGACTATAACAGACAATTGCCTAATAACAATAGACCCACTCGAGGGAAAGATGCAGAAAGATATGAATAATTAATATAATAGACTACCGGTGTTGGATAGGTGATCATGTTCGCATTTTGCATAGCTGAAAGTCATAAGTACTAGCGTGAAAAAGCAAGGCATTGGGGTAACAGTTTCTTAAAACGGGCGGAGTTATCCACACAGCGAGCTAGATGGTGTTAATCATTCCACAGCTTAGCACATTGGAAGGAAGCGCCATGACGGGCAAAGGCAGTTCTGAGCATGGGCAACTTAAAGGGGAAGTTAAAATGTGACACTACAGCGGCCTTCCAAACAGCGCCACGTCAGATACAGTAATTTCTTGCAATACATGGATGCCAAACGATCTAGACCAAGTCTCGCAAATAAAGGGCTTGATGGGCTACAAAAACCAGTATCGTACACTGAACGCAAAGCTCGCTTTAGCATTCGTTCAAGCCTACCTAACTGGGTTAATTAAGGAAAGGCCAGCAGAAAAACAATTTGATGCATATAGAAAATCTGGCAACACTAGGCACTTTACAAAGGTTTCTCGGCAAGTCAGAGGAATATTGTGTCGATTTCGGAACAGAATACCAATTTTACTGGCAAGTTTGGTGACCATAGAATCAACTTGAGTCCTCCAAGAAAGATCCTGGTCCAAATGTATTCCAAGGTACTTTGCACATGTCACTTGCTTGAGCTGCACTCCATGACAGTAGACTGCAAATTGGTGGTCAGTAATATGTGGCGTAGACAGGAAGAGCACTTGTGTCTTCCCTGCATTTAGAATTAAATTGCGGTTTGACAGCCAGGTACTAATGGCATTGACTTCGTACTTGGTCAGTATAGGAAATAAAAGACCTCGTAAAAGACCTCGGCTTCGCCTCAGTCTTTTACTCGGTTTTTATTTCCTATATTGACCTCTCAGTCAAGATTAGATACTTATCACTCTCTTAGTATTGACTCCCATTGGTTTTCGCGGTACCTAAGCAGTTAAATATTCCTGCATATTTCACTCCTTGGCGACTGCTTATATTTGACTGCTTATGGGTTGCGCAGTTGAACGGTGCCTAGTGCAGCATGGTGCAGGGTATGACTATGAGTAGGTGATGGTGCAACGGTTGTGCAATCATAAAACCGGGATTCATGAGGTAATCGTTCTGGAATTTGAAATACCGACTGTTTGTCGTGATAAATCTAATATGGACTTCGTGCTTGGTCAATAGAAAATAAAAGCCTCGTAAAAAAACCTCGGCTTTTATTTCCTATTGACCTCGTATACGTACTCAGCCAATAGATACGTTGTGTTGAACCCGGTTCCGACTGCTAGCTAGAGCCCAGGTAGATCTAGTACTAGGTAAGCTTTTTAGGTATTATTCTTATTCTTTATTTCCACGGTGGCCCATCGCCAATAAGGAAGATAATATGATTCAAATCAGTCCAAAATCATTATAATCAGTCTAGCAAGTAAGGAAACCAACACATTGCAGGGGGATGGGGTTACGATGGGGTACAGTGTGAGCTACTACAGGAGCATATGGATGATAGAATGAGGCTAGACGCCCTTGATTTAAACGCATACTTGCTATTTGTTTCACGCAGGTCGGGGGGTAGTTGGTTGAACTTGTGAAGGGACAGGTTGATGGGTGAGTTGGTGTGTCGGTATGTGTGTGATGTTCTCAATGACATGTGTATGTTCTCATGTGTCGTAGTGCATATGGCTGCTCTGTGATTGGTCGTGCAAGGTGAGGCTGTTGCAGGTGAAGGGGAGCGCGGATAAACTTGATGTTGTGGGCAAGAGTAACCTGTCGTAAGAGTTGCCGGGAGACTAATGTGGGGAGTTGGAGATGATGAAGAAGTGAGCTGTGATGGACTGGTGCAAAAGGGGGGATCCGCAAGCAGATACGGGCTGCTCGTCGCTGAACGCGTTCTAATTGGTCCTTCTGTGTGCGGGTGGTGTTGGATAACACGAGACTGCCATACTCTATAACCGGGCGAATGTAGGCGGTGTAGATTACGAGCAGACAGGGGGTGTTAAGTTGGCCTCGTGGTTTACGAAGTTGGTGAAGGAGTTTTTTGGATTTGTTTATTATGTGCGTGACATGTGAGTTCCATTGGAGGTCGTTTTGTAGTATGATTCCAAGGTGACGGTGTTCGTTGACTTGCTTTAGGGGTGTGCCGTTAACATTTTGTGTACCTAACTTCATGTCGAAATCCATTTTAACAATCCGCATATCTCTCCCCCCCCCCCCTCTCTGTGTCTCTGTCTCTGACACACATACACACACACACACACACACACACACACACACACACACACACACACACACACACACACACACACACACACACACACACACACACACACTACTACTACTACTACTACTACTACTACTACTACTACTACTACTACTACTACTACCGTACTACTACTATCATGACTGCCCATTGGGCAATGTCACCCCCGGAGGGGGCCAGAGTTTGGAGGGCACCGTCATTGGCAGGACTTCTGGTGCCTCGTCAAGTCTTGCTGTCGTCGGAAACGCTCTGCGCAATGCATGCAGATCAGCGGCAGTGATTCCCTATCGGCTGCAGCAAGACGTTTTCCACGGTTGCAGTTATGGCGGTTAAAACCAGCCCGGGACTTGAAGCAGCGATTGCAGCGTTGACAATGCTGAAAGCAGCAACTAGCGAGAGACGCCGTCAATGCCGTATCTGCATGTTCAGGGGGTGCAGGCTGGCAGCGATGAACTGCAAGCCCACCCTTACTTCGGAACCATCGGCCGCAACTGACGCACTGTGCTGAACCACGCTGTTGGTGGACGGGAAGTTGGCGCTCAGCCAAACACTTGTGCCGTGCCTTGTCTTGAGGACGAGAGAAAGCCAGGTTGCAAGAGGAGCAGAGTACGGATTTCTCTACTGCCCGAGGAGGCTGAAAAACCAGAACCTGCTCTCGCCAAGCTGACCGGTCTTGTGCACAATCAAACCACACACACACACACACACACACACACACACACACACACACACACACACACACACACACACACACACACACACACACACACACACACACACACACACACACACACACACACACACACACACACACACACACACACACACACACACACACACACACACACACACACACACACACACACACACACACACACACACACACACACACACACACACACACACACACACACACACACACACACACACACACACACACACACACACACACACACACACACACACACACACACACACACACACACACACACACACACACACACACACACACACACACACACACACACACACACACACACACACACACACACACACACACACACACACACACACACACACACACACACACACACACACACACACACACACACACACACACACACACACACACACACACACACACACACACACACACACACACACACACACACACACACACACACACACACACACACACACACACACACACACACACACACACACACACACACACACACACACACACACACACACACACACACACACACACACACACACACACACACACACACACACACACACACACACACACACACACACACACACACACACACACACACACACACACACACACACACACACACACACACACACACACACACACACACACACACACACACACACACACACACACACACACACACACACACACACACACACACACACACACACACACACACACACACACACACACACACACACACACACACACACACACACACACACACACACACACACACACACACACACACACACACACACACACACACACACACACACACACACACACACACACACACACACACACACACACACACACACACACACACACACACACACACACACACACACACACACACACACACACACACACACACACACACACACACACACACACACACACACACACACACACACACACACACACACACACACACACACACACACACACACACACACACACACACACACACACACACACACACACACACACACACACACACACACACACACACACACACACACACACACACACACACACACACACACACACACACACACACACACACACACACACACACACACACACACACACACACACACACACACACACACACACACACACACACACACACACACACACACACACACACACACACACACACACACACACACACACACACACACACACACACACACACACACACACACACACACACACACACACACACACACACACACACACACACACACACACACACACACACACACACACACACACACACACACACACACACACACA